ATAGTTCTCCGTTTTAATGAGTTGTCGTCTTCACATTTGGCTACAATTGCGAAAAAAAAGAACCTTAAGGGTGGTGTCTGAGTCCATGATCCGTTGCGCGACGGATCACAGAAATCACAAGTGCCCCGATCAATACTGCGAAGGTGCTCTCCAATCCCGCCGCCACTTCTGCTTGATGGTGATGGCTGAATGACGACTTCATGATTCTACTTGTTTCATATTCAGTGTTTCAAATGTTCAAATGGGGCACTTGCAATTTTTGCGATTCGCGCGAAGCGCGATAGATCGCGGACCCTGACATCATCCCTACCTGCAAAGTAACCTGAAGTGGTTTATTGGTGCAGTTTTTCTCAAAGTACGGCTGAATCGTGCGAAGTGCCATATCTTAGGGTCACTGCATTCTGCCGTAACAACGAAAAAGCGCCCTGGAATTTCCCACACTATTGTGTGAACAGCTCGTGAGCAAACTTCCTGCGCACTGCTGCTCGTCTCACTTCTTGTTTGATGTGACTGCTCTATACTCCAGTTCCATGCACGCATTTTAGACTGCGCTAGCGGATCTACTATTATTCATCGCTAGTGATGTCACCTTCTCTGCACTACCGCCATCAGAGTTTCAAGCTGAATTTGCTCGGAGTGTTTATGAAGAGATAGTCATTGGAGCTTTCAAAGACATCACAGCTATTGCTGAGACGTATGGTTAGTTACTTTTCTTAGATTTGTGCACATCGCTTTGTGGCCGTCTTTGTAATGGAAGTTATGTTGCAGGCTCTTCAGAAGGAGAGACTCGCTATGCAAATCCTTTGATGATGTTGTTAATAGCGTTCACTTTACATCATCTGGCGAATAAGTCGTCGCAATACCTTTTGAGCCTTTGCCGAGAACAATTCTCCTTAACGACATCGAAGGCTACAGTGGGATTAACTGGTATGTATCTATTAGTTTGTTCTATAGGGTAGTTAATAATATCCTACAATTTGTCACCTGTCTCTCGCCAGCGTATGGTAACCCAACTACCAATCAATCCAACTCAATTTTTTGTACGTTTTTGAAAACTGTTAACAGTTTTGACTTGTTTACGGCTTTGGTTTCATCTACCATTCTTCAGTCAACCGACCCTTAATCAGTCAGTAGCATTATCTGTGTGATATCTATTAACAGTTTCATGCCCAAAATTGGAAACATTATTCGGCGTGTCTCAATGTCTTGCTTTTGATATTCCCAAAAGGGTCGCTCGTAAGTGAATACATGTTTCTCATAGTTTAGGTGTAACTGAGGTGACGACAATGTTGAAGAGCTGCTCTCAAGCACTTCTGCGACGATTTGCCAAATTCCGCGGACTCGAGCTGGGTGAAGCTCTAGTTATAACGAAGTTGCGAAGGACTCATCGAAACAGTCTATCTTGCCCACACGCAGCATGCATCTTTCGCACGTTGAGTCAGGTGAGGGCCGTATATGGCTCTCCTTTGCTGTACCTGCCAACGATTTTTGTTATTTCTTTTTTTTCAGACAACACTTTTATTGCAGGGTACTACCAATTCCGTTGATAACCTGAAAGCTGGTTTCTAAAGGAAGTGACATACCGTTCTCCTCCACTACGCATTTGATCCATTAGCCAAGTAGGTTCTCATACACGGAGACTGATATACAACAATTTGAGATACCAAAGGGGTAGACAGCTCTATTAATGGCGTCACGCCCCCCAGATTTTCGAATTGTGGTTTGTGTGTATGTATTACAGTTCTATCTATCTTATTACAAGTGAAGATACTTATCCATGAACTTTACCTTCTTCCGCTTAAGTGTATGCAATCCAAAAGAACCTCACGCGATCTTAAATTTCCTTTCTGTTGTGCTTCCTAAGCCACTTGTTTCATTCGCTACCGAGTCTTACCAAGTCCCCTTCAGAACTTCATTGGTTGAGGCTAGTGGAACTTCATATTTTTTCTTTCTTTTGCCTTCGCGGGTTTCTGGGGAACCTAATGTTTGCCTTCGTCTCTGCCTGATTCGTTGTTGTCAAGACGTTAATTTTCAGATCCGCAGTACGACGTGCTGTTGAGGAAGTTCTCGAATGTGATTCGCTGCTATCACGCCTGCTCGGTGGTGAAGCTGGTCGCAAGGAGAACCGTCATCGTCGGGCAACGCCGGCGCCATCGGCAGCCGACTCCTCACGGGATTCGCTGTGGTGTGAACGTATCGACTTCAATCAGCAGCTACATGTCTGTCAAGAATATCTCTTCTCAATAGCTAGTAGCATGTATTAGCTCATATTTTTTTCAGTTCAACAGGGCTTCCATCATAGGAGCTATCGTGAAGGTGTTACTGAAATCGTTCATCGAATCAATACGGCTGCAGACTTATGGGAAATTTGCCGTAGAACAGATACAGGTATTCGCTTCTATTAGTCAGAGATTTCTTCATTATTAACAACTACTTCACCTAAATATGTGGTAATAACTTAGGGTGGACTGCTATTATCTTCAACGTGGGGTATCGCCCTTGGTTGCGGATGAAGTGATTGTCAATTCAATGGTAGATCAAGCTCTTTCCTCAGCTCTAAAGCGATGTGTCGCTCCTGAATTGGTCCATCCTACTCGATTACGGCAAATTTGCGAAGATAAGACTGAATAGCCGTAGATTTGTGCTCATCGTTTTCTTTTTCGAACTGAGTAAGGGGCAACTTACTTTGCTTTTCGTTATTTTCTTCATGTGTCATACTTCGGGTGCAACATTTTTTTTTCTTAAAATATGATTGTGATTGTGATAAAGTATTTTTCGACAATGATCTCTTATTCGTTGATGGATGTTAAGCCATTCAATTTTTAGCGTTTTTTGGATTGCTTCTTGTTTTCTTGTGCATTCCGGCTTAGATTCTGCAGAGCTGCATCATAAGGGAGACATTTGAAGTGATGTTCATTTTATGCGTCCTCAAAAAGGGCTTATTTTTGGTAATTTTTTCCATTGCTGAAGGTAGCCGCTCATTCTTCTGAGTTCTAAATTCTCGCTATTTTATATTACGTTTTTCTTCAGTGAATTGGAGAGGAGTTTTGGTGCGTTGATGATCTACTCATTTCTCCCAGGGAAATCAATTTATAAAATCTGAGATGATCTCTTTCCTTTGTCGCGGTCGTTGTTGTGTATTCTTGTTGCATCTTCCTAAGTAATACCCGAATGAGGCAGTGACAGGCGATATGATCTATTAGTTCTCTTCCATCTTATCGACATCATGTGGACGTGCTATGCCTGAATGTTTTTGATTCTTTTTTTTGAATTCGCATTTCCCAACATTTCAGTTTCGGTAACCCACTCGATATTTGCTTTACGTATCTATGGTTTTGTCGATTTTCGAAGGAAATATGGACTTAGATGGATTGATGGACTGATTGGCTCTCTGGTTTCAGTTCTCATGCGTTAATTCAAACTTTTTACTTCCGCCGTCGATATGAATGCAGAATGAGCAAATCTACACAGCCACATTCTATCAAACGATGTCGTAGCCTTTCACTTATTGGAAATATCGAGACGCCCGCGCAGAGGTATCGATATTATAGTTATTTGAGTAGCCTTCACTTGCATGTAATCCTGCCACATTTGTATTTGAGAAAGTCCAGCAAAAATCTGTCGCACAAAATCTATCGGGGTCGACTAAGCCTTGGACGAGGTGGAGCCGCAGCGGGGCGGAGTAAGCTTTCGTTGGTATTGATTCAATGACCATATGATCAGAACTCGTTTCAGTTAACCGCCGAAAAACTCGCACCGACTACTCGTACTTACATGGGGACGATGATGACGATGACTACTATTTGAGTGGTAGCCATGCATCGGTTTGCTTTCTATTCTTTTTGAGCTATACTGCGGATCCATATTTTAACCAATTTTCGACTATTTAGACTCCTGCTTCCTCTCCTGCTTTTCGTTGCCTTGCTGTTATTGAGCGTGCATCCTCAAGTTCAAGCTTCACAGGAGATAGTACAAAAGTGAACGACTCAGGATCTGAAACACTGTTCTCGGACGTTGCTGAAGATGAAAGGTTCGGGAGTAACTACCAATTGACATTTTGTAGATGTTCCTTCACGCGAAACCAATTGTAGGCATTGTGAATATCTGTTGTACTCGTTAGTGCTTAGATTCCTTTATTCTTCCTTGACTTTTGTATCACTAATAGAAGGCGCCTATCTGCCCTTTTTCTTAGAAGTTTATCATACCAGTCTGATTGGTATTGTTAGAAGTAATATCTCTGTCACTACTAATAGTTCGTTTAGAAATAATCTCTACCGTGATCTTGACAACTTCCTTTGCGCTGACCGATATGTGTCATCGAAACTCACCATGGCTAACACACCTGGCAGAACAGAGCAGGTGTGTGTTTGACAGCATTCTCGATACTTAAGTCGTGAAAAGTAATAATTTCTCTTCAGACTTTTACAATAGGCTCGAAAAAAGAGCAGCATCGATATGGCGATGTTTTGTGGTTAATATTGCGTGCATATTTCAGTGGAAGGTCTGCCATTATATTGAATTCACCTTTTTTTTTCGCTTTCCTATTTCGATAAAGTGGATTAGTTTCCATTTATTTGTCCTCTGATGATTTGAAGTGTTGGGTTATTGTTAGGCCGGTGTCAGAGTCCGCGATCCGTCGCAGGTTTCGCGCGATTCGCGCGACGGGTCACAGAAATCACAAGTGCCCGATCAATACTGCAAGGTGTTCTCCAATCCTGCCGCCATTTCTGCTTGATGGTGATGGCTGAATGACGACTGTTCATGATTCTACTTGTTTCATATTCAGTGTTTCAAATGTTCAAATGGGCACTTGCAATTTTTGCGATCCGCGCGAATCGCGCAAAACCTGCGAAATCTGCGACGGATCGCGGACTGTGACACCAGCCTTACGTTTTTTTATTATAAATCTAAAAGAATGATCATTGTTAAGGGAGGTTTCTGGAGGACAGGATGCAACGTTTGAAATGGATGCCTTGGTTTGTGCAAAGCGCGAAGAGCGTAGTGAGATCCTGGAAAAGATTGTACGCTACACAGCGATTCCAGTGGTGGAAGGCTTTGAGCGCCTTGAGACAAACTACATGGCCCATTTGAAAAGCACGAGAAAGGAAGGTAAAGCACAGAGATCGAATTTGCAGTAATTTGCTATTATAACATTTCTGTCCATTGGCTTCAAGAAAGCTTTTTAGTTAGTGAACTGCTGGCAGAATTCGAGAAGTACCAGGCGCTGTTCCCTCACTCGAAAGCAATGGAGGATGATTGTTGCAAAAGGAAAGGAGTAGCATTCACGAAGCAATTACTCGATAAAGTCACATTGCTTGTCACTTGGCTAAACACGGTGGAGGACTTGGCCTCAAAAATTACTCAGGTGCTGTTAAATCGCAAAATTCGCTCATGAGTCTACATATATCATTTCTTTTGTAGCTTGGCACTGTGTTCGAAGTCAGCAGAGTTCCTGGTGCTGAGAAACACTGGCCTCGACCGTTACACAGTTCGTCTTGTACCGTCGGACTTCGTGACGCACGGCCAGTATTCGAAGCGTTCGTGAAGCGGAGTCTTGTCCTCAGGGTACGGCTTAATGACCTTGGTCCGTCGCCCTTGACCAATGTAAAAAAATGGGCCGTTTCTGCAGTTCAAGAAGCTGCGGCAGTGTTGCCATTTGCGGTTGATGGGAACACGGCCGCATTTCTTGTCACGGGCTAGACTTCCCCGTGTCTTCTATGGTTACCCAGAACCGTCGTAGTTGGAAAGGTCCTATTCCAATAAACCTAGATCACAAAAATGCGCTCAGTTTGTTATATGCTTGACTTTCTCCTAATCACCCATTCCGCTGAAAATTTTTGATCTCTGTTATGTTGCATCTCTAGAA